GCGCAGGCTACAGGATGTGATGCTCACTTCCTCCTGTTGATGCTGACCCAGGGAAGGGGCCCAAAGGGGATGGTGGGCTTTGCATGAAGGGTTGCTCAGTGATGGAAAAGCTCCCCAGCTAGAGGCTGGCCGCAGACCACTGGATGTTAGTCAGCATGGGAAGAGCTGGCCAGTCCAGTTCCTCATTGAGTCGCTCAGTTTTTCCACTGCAGAGGTGGACGGACAGACAGATGGACAGACAAATGTAGACGGCAAAGTAGGGTTGCTAGGAAAGCTTTATGTAAGCGGCTCTCGGCCGGCAGCTGACAGTGCAGCAAGTGTTCAGCTCCCAGAGCTCCACATCAAACCTGGCAGCACATCAAAACCTCTGTTTCATAACCCACTAGAAATAGGATTTTCTAACAGCGCCAAGAGGACTCGCCTTGTTGTTCAGGGACCTGGGATTTTACCAGTCGTTAATGGTTAACTAGTCAATGGCCTAAAAAACTCGATAGTGCCTTTCCCCATGATGAAGTACGGGATTTTACCAGATGCTGTGCCTGGCGGCAGCCATGCCACCCTGGTCCACCTGTTAATAACATAACTCAGGAATGAATTAGCAATTAACAGCAACCAAATAATTACAGAATCAGCTGTCAGGAGGGACGCCATGATGCTGTGAGTGGCTTTCCCAAGACGGGAACTGCTCTCCCTGGGAAGTGGGTTTGTGAGCGTGGCTGGGGAGGGAGCAAGGCTGGAGTGGGGACTTCCCCAGGGAAGCACAGATTTCCGGAGGCAGACATTCCATAGGAGGAAGAAGGCACCAAGAAATTAAATTGATGTACCCCAACTCTGACAGCTGAACCCCCCGGCAGTGGCAACCCTCGCCTGCTCACTCCAGCTGACAAGGCTGGGCTGACGTCTGGGCTCCTCTGGCTCCCTCCTCTGAGGGAGCAAGGCAAGCATCAGCCATGCCCTGAGCTTTACAGTGTAAGACAAAGCTCTGCAAGTGCTTTGCAGAGCAGAGCTGGGGCTTTGGCCAAGCCTGGCTGTGGACAAGGGGCTTGCTGCAGTGCTGAAGGGCAGAGAAACCAGGTGCTGCTTGGATTCCCTGCATGCTTTGCACGGCTGCTCCTCTGTGAGAGGGAGGCACCTCCTCTGCTCCAGAGCACCAAAGGGGACGATAGTGTGCTTCCACCTGGGCCTTTCCCCACCCTGGCTACATGCTGAGATGTGCTGATGGCACAGGAAAGGCAATTACATTTTTTTCAGACATTGATATAGCAGCGAGTGCATTAGATACGTAGATTCGTGGAGATGAAAAAGGCTCAGGTATTCATCTTATTCACTGCTCTCTCCTTCCTGATGAAGAGTTATCCCCTCCTGGACATGATCCAGTATTTTGTCCAGCCTTGTTTCCACTGATTCAAGTGACGGGGCTTCCTCTGGGAAACTCTATCACTGCCTAATGCACTTTACTGTTAGGAAGTGCATTTTGCCCTGCATTTGGCTTCAGCAGTTTGTCTCTAGGCTCTAGGCTTGCTTCCCAATGTGCCAGCTGCTGCGGGTTCCTGCCTCCTCCAGGCAAACTACATGTCTTCAGCTCTTTTCACTTTCTCCATAGGTCAGTCTTAATCCTTTAATAATTTACTACTGTCCTCCTCTGGCTGCCATCTGCCCCCCTATTGGCCTGGTTCTGCCATACATGGGCAAAGTATCACTGGGCGGAGAAAACCTCCCTGGTGTGGGACTGAGGCCCCGTGGGCTGTGACAGCGGTGGCTCCCTGACAGCTATGTGCTTCTCCAGCTCTGGGCCAGTGAGCGTGAGCTCAGCAGCTGGCACAGGAAAGCGCCGCTGGAGGGACGCTCTATTTAACACCAACTACTAATGGCCCAAAGGGGTTGTTCTGGCCAAGTAGGATTGCTGAGGCATAGAAACACCCTGGCTACACAGAGCCTTTCCCCTGGCCATACTCCCTGCATAGGAGCAGGCAAGAGGTTTGGGTGGAGGAACTTCTCAGTGCAACTCCAAAGGGGCGAAGGGCCAGGTCAGTTTGAGCAGGGTGTCCTGCCCCTCCAAGGACCATCAACAGTGCAGCTGCAGGATGCCTCATACCCAGCCGGGTGTCTGAACTGGATGGAGCAAAAACTTCCTGTGTAGTCAAAAAAGCTGGATTGACCCACGTTACATCCCTGAGGGCCCCTCATGTAAAGCAGTCTCCTTCCCTCCATCACATTCCCAAAAATGGTCTGAGCACCCCTTGCCCTTCACAGAAGTTGTCATCTGCAGCTGATTCTCATGCATGTTTGGAGGTGCGGGAGTGTCCCTGTTCCTCACTCATCACCATAAATTGACCCCAGAGGAATACATTTCTGTGATTCGTATTCCAAGCCCGTTTTTGTGCCCTCACCTCATTTCCCTTCTTTTGTGTCCCTGTACTTGCAGCTCCTTGAAATGGAGCCAATGGGGCCATGAGCCCCTCCACCCTTGTGCTCCCAACCGTCCCCTTGCACGTTGTGTCCCCTCTGCCTTCAGGCAGCTCAGCACAGCTTGGCCTGGGTCAGATGCCTGTGTTCCTCCTCGCCCTGGGACCCAGCGCTCTTCCTCTCTTTTTGTTTCCTTTTGTTTATGGTACTCAATCCAGCTCTCAGGCCATGCGCAAATGCTCTGCTCCTGGCCAACTTGAACTCGTTTCAAGGAAGATTGCACAAGAGTTCAGGGCTGGTGCTCGGAGCCAGGCCTGCTGGGCTGGCTGTTTTGTTCTCTCGGCCCTAGTCCTGCCTGAGGACCTGCTGGCATGAACTCCCGCCAAAGCGGAGTCAGCAGGATGCCGCACTAGCTGCCTGGCTGGGAGGAGCTAGAGAAGCAGTCCTGTGAGGTCAGGGACAGGCTTTGCAAATTCAGTTAAAAAAAAAAAGAGCAAGTTTGTCTGGGATGCTTTGCTTTCCCTTTAAGCCATTCGGATTGATGGTAACCCCATCTACCTCCAGGTATAAATAGCTTTTATTCCAGTCTCACACTGGGGCTGGGCAATAAAAGCTCTGCTGTTTGTGGTAGAGAAACCAGGCTCCAAGTGGTGAGAAAGGAGCTGACAAGCAGAAATAGCTTTCCCAAAATCAAAGGAGAAAAGGTGGAGGGGTCCTGATGGCATACACAGCTGAGAATGTGTCCGGGAGCCTTTACCTCCCTCCCTTGGCACAGGGCTGGGGCACCCTGCAGAAATGGCTCTCTGGGTTGCCATTTGCAGTCTGGCTGGCCTTTGGTGAGAGAAAGCACTTACTATCCTTCTTCTCTCAAGCACAGCTTTTATTTCAAGTGATGTGAAACCCTTGCACGCACGGGTTTAAAAAAGCTGCGGGCGAGTAGTAAAAAAAACTTTTTTTTTTTTAAATGGTTCCTAGCTTGTTTTTAAAGGCAGTTTTGTTATGTTTGGTTGGTTGGCCTGTTTTTTCAGTAACCTTGTCAACAAAAATATCAGCAAAGAAATGACATGGGAATACTTGAAAAAATCAAACTTATCTGCTCAAGCAGGCTGCGGTAGGGTGGACCCTCGGAGAGTTAGCTGACCTGCTGAGCCTCTGGCAATTATTTTTAAAGAATCACATGGAATGTGAAACTTTGGGACACAGGAGGTTCCTCAGCAGTCTGCGGCTGAGATGTTGAAGTGCCTCGGGACAACCATTGCCATCACAACGAAGAAATTTTGTTTACTTTCCTGGCACGGGACCTCCCCACTTTGAAGGAATCCGGAGTGACTAAAAATCCCTTGGCAAAGCTCTGTCTTTCTCAGAGGTGGGATTCATCTCAGCTGACTGTAGAAGTGTGAAAGTCACACAATGATCCAAACTAATCATCCTTCCTCTTCTCATAGGGCATAAGAAGCAACATGCATCTCACACACACACGTATATACATATATATATATATATACATACATATACACACGTATATATATATATATGTTCAGTGGGACAAATCTCTTGCTGGAAGTGCCCACCTCCTCTACGGAGCATAATGGGAATTTGGGAGTTTTGGTTATCAATAGCTGTCTACCTTAGAGAAGATGAGCACTAAATTGTATGACTTGCCCTGGAGAACAGGCTTACTTTTGGTCCTTTGGAGCCACAGAGGAGGTGCTTGATGGCTTACACTGGCTATGCAGTGACATACAAATTCTTTCTCTGACTCACAGGTTCTAGTGCAGTTTCTTGGCTGTTGGTAACCTCATTAAAAACCCTGATACAATGATACAGCCCCTGAATTATTCTCACTTCCACCAGTTTTGTTTGAGAACATGGCAATATTCTCCCCATATTTTATGGTTTAACGTAATGCTGATAAATGATATGACAATGATAAATTTTCATTTTATTTAAAGCTGTTTATCATCCATATCTGTTATAGAAAGTCATCAATTATGCAAAAAGCGTGAATGTTTAAAGAGCCTCTAAAGTGTCTCTATTTATGGATTGTATGTGTGTATTCTTTACTCCTTACACTGAAGGCTCCTCCATTAAGTATCATTTCTCACAAAGAGCCTGAAAAATGAAACTTGACAGGGAGATCTTAGACAAGCTGGAGGCTTGTCACAAAACATGGCGGAACCATAAAAATTTCACGTCTTGGGAGAATCCTTCAACACTTGAAGCTGGGTCCTAATCAGAGAACCAGCAGACTAGATGGATGCAGTGTATCTCAGATCAAAAAGCCATGCTCTATGGCTTGCCTGAAGTCACCTTCCATAGCTTAGCCAGGGCCTCTTAATAGAAGGGGAAATAATTAGGTCCCTCATGAGCTCTCATTAGTGGAGGGGTCCACACTGCTCACAACCCAGAGATTTCTCCAGTCTGTGGTCTGTCGTAAAAGCCAAAGGAGCAGCATCCCAGCAACTGGCATGTGTGTGGACCATGCTGCAGAGACTTGTGGCTTGCAGAGGTCTGCTCTTGCTCTGGAGTGAGGGAGCAAGATGGATGAAATGGCTGAGATGTCATAAGTTGGGCAGCTATTGCTCATCTCTGAGCTTGCACAGCAACCTCTTTGCTATGGAGGGACAGATTCTGCTCACAGGGCAGTGTCTTTGGAGCCACCTTGCACTAACAGCAGTGTAATTGGCAGCTTGTTTTGGTATGTGCATTAAATCACAGTAACGGAGGTTTTACAGCAAGGAACACAGATCAGGGAGTGAATACCAAACAGTGACCCTTTAACATAGCTGAAGATGTTGGCATCTTGGATCTTTTCTTTCTTTCCTTTCAAGATACTGGGATGACAAAAAAAAAAAAGAGTTAAAGTAAGGAAATTAGATCACAAAAAGCAAATTAACTAAACAGCACCATCCTGGCCTGATGCTGATCTTGCACATGGTGTGCCAGTAAATCCCAAGTAACCCAGCACACATCTGGGTGTTTCTGGGGCGGCTCTGTCTATTCAGGCCTGCCAGGGTGTTGGAGGGGGCCCGCAGCTGCCAGAGCTCTCCGGTAGCGTGTGACAGGAAAGGGAGAGCTTTCTCACACATCTGACACAAGAGGTCGATTGTGGGGATTGCTGACGGGTGACCTCCCTGTGCCACCGGTGCTGGGGCTGCGAGCTCCTCTGGCACAGGCACCCACCAGGAGACCTTCTGCTCTTGCATTACAATGCCCACAGCATTGTAAGTGTCCTGTAGTTGCCAAAGACTTAGATACTTAAACATCTCCCTGAAGTAATTAGTTGTGTTTTTAAATTACTTATGATGTATTTAGTGCTGTAGAGGATGTGTCAGGTTGTGACAGAGAAGGGAGCAGAAAGCCTGTGGAGTGGGAAGTATGGTGGCATCAGCTATTTTTAAACATGCCATGCAAGGTCACCTCCACAATATCCCTGCACCCGGCGCTGGTGTCTCCCACCCGCCTGCCCTTCACAGCATATGGTGATCTTTGCCGTGAAATCTTTAATTTTCTTTCATTCTTCATGTCTATTCTTTGTTGCCATCAGGAGATGTCCTTGACAGTGCCATGCAACTTTAAGCCAAGTAGGCAATAACACAACAGAGGAGTTGCAGCCATCATGCCTTTTATTGAGTACATTAAAGGCCTGGGATCAAAGGCTGGCTACTTCCAGCTCTAGTAGAGTTGCAGTGGCACATTAGTAGGACTTCTTTTTCTCCCTACCAGTTCAAACAGCTACACAACTTTCCATTCAGCTTCTATTTTTTCCTTAGGTTCAGGGCATGAGGATGAATGGCCTCAGAATCCCAGCTTCTCCCATGGCAGACACCGCCTCTCACTGCCAATCTGCCTGTCACAGAGCCTGTTGTGGATCTTGTACCCAGTGCTCTGACTGTTAGGCTGGTCCAGAGCATCACTGCTCTACCAGAGAGAAACCTTTTGCTTTACAGCCATGATCAAAACCAGTTTCTCTTGTGCCATACAGAGAAATGTTATTTTCTTTTGGTAGCTCTCTCCCATACATGCTGATGAAGGGAGAGAGGTTCCCTCAAGTGGTTCTCCATGGCCCTCCCAGTACCTATTTGTGCATGTCAGCATCTCTGTTTTTTGCCTCCTCTGCTGGACACACTTCCCAGTGCATCCTGGGATTGTGCTTGTCTTTCCATGACAGCATCCCATTGGTGCCCAAAATAATTAACTACCAGCATGTCCTTTTCCCCTTCAGACAGTTCCAGATGAGTTCACAGTTCACAGTGTCAGTTCTTGCTGTTAATCCATAAACTATAACCTTTACATCGGGTACTGTTCAACATAATTAGATTTCTATTACATGGTGTTCTTTCCTGCAGTTAAACAAGATTTGCTTTACTTAAACAGCCAGCCCCAGGTGAGGTTTAATTGTAACCTTGGTGTTAAAGCTCTTGTGCTTGCACACCATTCTCTCAAAGCCTCCAGTCCACCACATAAGTGCATAGCCTGCACTTATCTTGATGTGACACGTTAGCAATCATCCATAGTTCTCTGGCAGTGAGACCCAGATTTGCCCTGCAGGATGTCAGCCCTCTCCCAAGGATCAGCTCTTTTCATGAAGAGAAGAATAAAACCAGGATGGCTCTTAGTCAGGTCACCCTGACTGCAGCATAAACACACTACCTGCTCTGGTGCAAGCTGGAGTGGAAAACAAAGGCACAATAGACCAAACAAGGTCATTAACAACAATTTGATCCAATTATACATCTACAATCAGGGCTCTATGTTTGATGATTTTTATTTTGTGTTGGGAGGGAGGGAAAACAACCTTGCACATAATGGAGCGGTACTGCGTACTGAAAGGTGTCTCCTCTCACATAAAGCAGCAGTAAAGCCTCCTCAATCCACCTGTACCTTGGTTGAGTGTTCATTTGCCCCCACTCTCACCACTGCTATTCGCTGTGGTTAAAAAATGTTGGTATGCAGGAAAAGTTTCCTCCTACGGTGAGAGGGCTGCGGCCACCCCCTGCCTGAGACCAGTGGTCACTTTTACGCCACAAGAGCATAACAGTAAGAGAAATGCCTGGGGAAGTGAATCCGTAGTGGCAGGCTGGCCAGCTGCAGGGTGAGGGTGGGGTAAATTGCTGGAAGAAACTTTCCCAGCCACCGGAGGAGTTGGGAGAACAATGCGGAGAAGAGGATGTGAGGCACTTCCCGCCACTGGCCAGCCCCGCGCCAAGGAGTGCCGCAGCCTCCAGTGCTATCTTTGTACCCTTGTCATCGTCTGGAGGAGGCTTTTGCTGTTTGCTGTGGGTTTCTATACTCTTGTTTCTTTCAGTTCTCTCTCAGAGATCTAACTGTCTCTGCAAAACAAGGGGACTGTTTTCCCCAGCCTTTCTGGCTGACATCCACTCAGCCCATCCAAGGCAGGTCTCTGGGCCAGACTGGGAGTGTGCTGGTTCCTCTCTAAGATCTGGCTGCTAGAGCAGCGCAGATGCTTTTTTTCTCTTCTCATCCCTCTTTCCTTTCTTCTGTCCCTGAGAGATGGAGATAGTGGATGTCTTGTTTGTTCTGCTTTCCCATCACATTCATCTATTACCAGCCACTTGAATCTCTGTCTACATCCTGCAGAGCTGCTTCTCTCTACAATATTCAAGTGCCTTTTGCAAGGGGAAAAAAAAAACAACTCACAAAAAACAACCCCAAAAACCCAGCCCTGTGATTTTCCTCCCTGGTCTCAGGAAACAGGTTTGTTTGTTTTTTAATGAATGCAAAAGAATGCAGATAGCGGTGAGGAAAAGCTTGGGCAATGAGTTCGGCACTTCTTTATTTAGGCTTCTCCATGTATATCAGCTGAGCCCAGCAGGCAACAAAGCAAGAGCTGGATGTTATTTCAGGAGAAGTCTGGTCTTTCATGCTTGAGACAGAGTAGTGTCCCTGGAGGGGAACTCTGGGCTCCTGTAGTGCATGGGTGATTTGAACAGAAAATGGTAAAGGAATTTCAGCAATGCTGCTTTTCTTCTCTGTCTTCCAGGCTCTTCGTAGCAGGTGTCCCCGAGGCTGCCCACTGCCACTGAGACAGGTCGGAAGGACTTCGCACCTACAGCTCTGCCTGGCCTGGTATTTCCCACTGCTCCAGTGCTGGACACTTATGGCTGCACAGGACCAGAGACACAACAGGCACATCCATGGCACATTGTGAGAGATAGACAGTGCATGGCAGTGGTGGGGACTCTGCCGCTTACACCATGTGGGCAAGGCAGCTGTGCTAGGTGGCATTGGCAGAACACTAATAACAGGTTCATTCCAGCTGTGTGCTTCTTGGAAACAATGGGCTAAAATCACAGTCACGCTGATGTCCACACGAAAAAGAAAAAAAATCCTAAAGTGATGTGGCAGATAAAGCACAACATTTCTCTTGACTTACTGTTCCATGCTAGTTAGTTTTAGGTGTTTCTGCCTTACTGAAAGTCAAATTTCAGTCTTGAAGCTTCACTTCAGCATGAAAAGTAGAAGTGCATTACACAGAGCAAGCTGCTTAGACTTATATTTAAACAGCATATATATTTTGGCCATGGCTCTTTGCTGAATTCAGCACTGATTCAAGCTTGGTCAGACTGCAACTGCATTTTTCCATGGATAAAATATTCATTTCACTTTTTTACCTGGCTTTAGCCATGATATTGTGTGAATCATATCTTTGGAGTACCTCAGTAGTTAAAGGCATATCTGTTCACTGGGATCCAAGCAGCTCTAAGACAGGTCACCTCTAGTTCCAAACCTGATATTCATTTTCCCATGGTGAGCATATTTCTTCTTTAGTCATATGGGATTTTTGCTTCTTTCAAAGTATGTCTTTTGTAGCAGATTTTAATGTAGATTTTTATGCAAGAATGTATTACTAGGTTGTTTTCTATTGATGCAGAGAAATCTTTTATGCAATTTGCATCCCATTAACAGCTTCATAAGAGACGATCCTGATTCTAATGGCTCTGCACAATAAGCCAATAAAGCCAAATATGGAAGGGATTATGGAGTACATTGCTGCCATACCCACAAAGTGGTTCATATGTTCAAAAGAGAGGCACCGACTCATCTGACACCTAAGGTTAGTTCTAAGAGTTACTACTACTGATATTTTTCAGCAGCACTTTGTCTTTTATCTCCTGTAGGTTGCCTTCTCAATTTTCTTGCTCTGGCAGCAGAAACAGAAGAGGAGCCCCAGCCTGCAGCCTTACATGTGGGCATCCTACACAGCCTGATGGGTGGAAAATGCTGCTGGATTCCAAAAAAACACAGTGCTCTTACATCATTTCTCTAGTGCTGGAATAACAACAGAGGCTGCCTTAGGGCAGGTATAGGTGCTAGCTGGTGTCCCTGCCACCGACACCTTCCTGAAGGCATATTTACACCCTATGCTTTCCCTGTAGGAAAGGCCAGGTGTCTGCGCTGAGCCTCTCAGATCTGCTGCCCATCTTTGATGCTGCTGGCACAAGGTAGGATGGTGGGCAGGCTTACCAGCTGCGGAGGATGAATAACTCTCTCCCCTGGTGTCAAAGTTTCAATCCTTAGCCTTGGGGGGAGGGTTTATTGAGTTTTGTAAACAGGATATTGGAAGTGAAGAGCAGATGTTAGAAGCCAGCCTCCTGCTGCCTGAGACCCTACAGCTATGCAGAGGGCTGCAAGGGGGTGCCCGCATTGGGAAACAGTCACGAGCTGTGGAGAGGTTTCTGTTCCCATCACTCAGGGAGCACATTTCTACAGTGTTTTTATATAAAACTACTGCTATGAGGAATGAGGTGGCAGAAGAGGTGTGAGAGGTAAAGCTGTAGTCCAGAGCATGGTGGGACCTGCCCACAGCTGACTTTTCTCTCTGTCCATCAAATCCTTCCTTGTCTCCTCCTGCTTCATCTGGGGACAGCACTCACAAGTCAGCTCAGTCATCTGGCTCCCCTGTACCCTCTCTTATCCTGCAGGACACAGCCTGAAGTTCTCATATAAAACCAAGTAATTGTCCAGGCTCCTGGGGAATACATGGAAGGGTACTTGTTTGAACTGTGGCAATGCCCATACCACATTCCCTCCCAGTGCACATGTGATGCTCTATGTGTTTTTAACTAGCTGAAGGTTTTCACAGACTCGTTCCCTAATAGAGAGACTTTATAACAAAACAAACAGCACTCAAAAAAGTATTTTACCTTCTTTAGTCATGTTTGTATATGCTCTTCTGTTTCAATTGTTCAGCCATTATGGTGCTTCAGCATGTTTTGTTTGCATATTGTGGCCTGTGTTTTCAGCTTCATGGTTATCAATATTGTCTTTATGCTTCCACCTGATTTAGAGCAGCATTTTCAGAGTCATGGCCCATTCACACTCTTTTCCCTTTAACTTCACTAAGCCGCTGTTGCTGCCATCCACCTTTGAGACAGCAGCACCATGACCTGAGGATTTTTCCAGTTGTTGCAAAGCACTGAACAGGCGTGGTTCCTCTTCCTGAGACCCACAGGGTACACTGACTGGGCCTGGCAGTGGCAGGAGCTGGATACCAGCTTCAGATCTGCATTAGGAGCTGAGTCGGCCCAGTTTTGATGTGTTCTGATTCACGGTCTGATATCTTCTGATCTCCTGTCTCCACATGGCATGACTTCGAGCTCACCACGTGCCCCTGATGGGTGCATCACTGGCTGCTTTGGGGCAGGCCCAGGCTTGGGAAGGTGCTTGAGGTGCTTGAACGTGGACCAGCCTGAGGAGATGGTCTGTCACCTCCCAGGGTGTAGGATGTCTGGGAACTGCATCTGCTCCCCTAAAAATGCAATTTTCATTGCCACAGGATTTTGCACTAGCCCAAACTTTTGTGTTTCTTAAAGTTCTAGCATCTGTAGGGTGTAACTTTGTTAAAGACTAAAAAAGACAGTTCAGCCAGCTTCAATATGATCCTCCCTTGTTTTCTTTTCCCTTTCTCTCAGCCTTTGAATTTTCCTTTCCTCTGGACTGTATATTTTATCCTTTACCTTTTTTCTTCTACAACTCTATTATGGTAATACCTAGCAAAGACCAGGACCCTATTAGGCACAGACAACAAAGACAGTTTTCAAAGAACCTGGCTATAAAATGCCTTTTTTGGAAGTTTCTGCTTTCAGTTACTTTTTTCTCTACCTTGTTTTCCATCCTTTTTTCTGGATATTTCCTTCCTTCCTTCCTTCCTTCCTTCCTTCCATCCATCCATCCATCATAGGAGTATGGGAATAAGGAGCTGGGAGGAGCAACATCACTGAAGTGTTTCTTTTCTTCCCCATCTACCCCTCTGTGTAGCAGCCAGAGAGGAATACAGAAGCCTGTCCTGGAAAGGTTTTGGTGGAGCAGTCAGTGAGCTGAAGGGCTGGCTGCTCTTGCTTTCCAATGGGAGAAGGAGGTGGCCTAGCTGCAATGCAGCAAGTGACCTATACAGGGGGCATTACATTTCTCACATCTTGAGACCTCATCCACCAATTTGGCCCAGCTGTGTCCCCTGCAAGGTCAGTGTGGAGAGCAGGCACCCACGTGGCTGCATGATGGCCCTGCTTTGCTCGGCGAGTTAGCTACCTCAAATGCCAAGTTGGTGGGCAGAGAGCTAGCATTCATCCTTAGAAGCTCCTCCAGTACTGGGCAGCATCCTTAATCAACATGTCTTTGAGGCCCTTGATAAAGAATACAGAAAAATTATTATTTTCATGACCGCTAACATACAGTTTTCGAAACACTCAGGATTGTTTCAGTTTATGCTTCAGACCACAACACTTACAAGACAAATGCTATGCTCCTTGGTATAGCTTCCTTTAGCTATGCTTTTATTTCTTTAGGGCTAAATTTTATTTTAGCCCTAATTAAAATTTTATTTCTGCTAATCCTCTCTAATGTTTTCCACCATGGCATTGCAATGTCTGCACTGGCACTGAAGGCTTTTTTATTTGCTGGATGCAATTAGGGTTGACATGCACACACAGACAGGGTCGGAGCTTCTGGGTTGGCTTTCTTGGGGGATTTCAGGCAGGTTGTGTGGGTTTTCTCATTTAGGACTTTGGTTGTGTGCAGATGCCTTCAGGTTTTGGGGACCAGAGAGCTGCAGGACTCCTTTTGGTTAAAAGACAAGCATGCAGCAGTGGCTTTGACAGGTTACATAGAATCATAGAATCATAGGATGGTTTGGGTTGGAAGTGACCTGAATGATCATCCAGTTCCAACACCCTCTGCCATGGGCAGAGACACCTTCCACTAGACCAGGCTGTTCAGACATGTCTATTTGCAGTGTCACTTCCTATCACACTTGCAATGGAGGCAAATGTTTGCACTGTGATAACATTTCTTCTGCTAGAGCTTTCTGTTTGGGGATGCTGCAACATTTTCTGCAGGGCATATCACCCTGTGTTTGGGTTGTGTGAAGTCTCATCTAAAAAAATTATGGCTAGGCAATGTTTTATATATTTGACATATATAACAATGCATATTGCATCAAGGAACTTAGTGCATGATAATATCCAAGGTGTAAGTTCAAGGGATCCAGCCTGCAGCATCCAGCCAGCGCTACAACCCCCACTCTTAGACAACTTTTGGGTGTTTAAGGTCAGGAGGCACCATTTTTGCCACCTAATCTGCTGTACCCATAGGAGACTGGGCCGTAGAAGACAGAAATTAATAATCTGGTGAAAGGAGAAAGGAAATGTCTCTAGGTGAGAGATAGGATTCAAGTGAGGACTACCAGAGCTTCTGCTTTGTATTTGACTTGGGCTGAGCAGTAGTTTTCCTTTCCAGTGTCAAGTGTTAGGCTTTGTAGGCAGCCAGGTGAATGTATGGCACAGATTTCAGGTGATGAAGTGTTGAAGTCTAAGATGGCAAATTAAGAGTCCTGGGAAGAGATCAAGGCCAGAGGGGGAAAAGCCTTGAGGGGAAGCCATGTGAGTAGCGGCTGAGGTCATTTGGTCTGTTCAGCCTGGAGGAGACTGAGGGGAGACCTCATTGCAGTCTGCAACTTCCTCGTGAGGGGAAGAAGAGGGACAGGCACTGATCTCTTCTCCGTCGTGACCAGTGACAGGACCCGAGGGAATGGCCTGAAGTTGTGTCAGGGGAAGTTTAGGTTGGATATTAGTTTTAGAATATTCAGCCTTTCCCACTCGGCACCTTTTCAGGATCATTACTGTAGCTCTCCTTTGTGCTTTCTGCAATCAGCTCAGTCTCCCTGAACTTCAGTGGCCAAAACTGCACAGATGACATTTCAGATGAAGCCTTGACAGCATAGACAACAGGGGAAGAATGGTTTCCTGTTTGTCACTGGCTGCACTTCTGTTTGTACACCTCATTAGAGCACTTTCATTTTTTACTGCAGCATGGCCATGCTCATTCATGTTGAGCTGACATCCCCAGACCTTCTGCAGAACTGCTGCTGTGCTAGTTGTTCCCCAGTTGGTCTTGCAGTCCTTGATGATGCCTACAAAACCCCAGAGCTCCACTTTGTCTATTCTGAATGGTGCTTCTCTTCCCACCCCTCTATCTCATTTGTCAAGATTGTTTTGCATTCCCCTCCTGTTCTCCAAAGTGCTTGTTCTTCATAGTGTCCTGTGCTAATTTAATAAGTGTTCCCTACTCTTGTGGTTTTTTTCCAAAGATATTAATGAAAATACTGTGCACTGCCAGACATTAAACAGATGGCTTCAGACTTCATTTGATATGTACTGCCTGTTTGACAATGAAGCATTTATAACTGCTCTTAGTCTGGTTTTCCAAGCAGCTGTACACTCCTCTAATAGCAGTGTCTTTTAAGGTGTGTTTCTTTGCTTGGTTTATGAAAGTGTCAGGTAAGACAAAGGCAAAAACTGCATTAAAATCAAGATCTAAGACCTATTGTAGAAGGAAATTAGATTGATTTGATGTGATTTGCTCTTGTCAAATCAATGCTTGCTGTTCTTCATCTGCTTGTTGTCTTCTAGGTGCTGGAAAACAGTTTATTAAATTACCACTTCCAGTATTTTTCCAGGAATTGATATTAATCTGCCTGATCTCCAATTCCTGGCTTCTCCTTTACATCCTTTTCTTTCATGGTAGGTGCTAGATTTGCCTTTCCCAGTGTGCAGAAGCACATGCCCCCATCCCTGACTTCTGTGCTGATGGTGCCAAGTGGGCTTCAGCTGCTTTACCCAGTATGGCAGAAGACTTTCAGGGCTTGTCAGTTGGAATATAGCTGACTTATTTAGACACTGTCAGACCGTTTTGTTCTTTCTTGCTGCCAGTATTCTTACCCTTTGACTAGGTATGCTTATTGTGTTAAATGGAGCACTTTTGAGCAAAGACTGAAGGAAAAAAGTATCAAACAAAAAGCATGTTTGACATCATCACTAAGTATCTCCTGTTCGTGAAACCCAGGTCTTTCTTTAGCTCTCCTGTTGCTACTAGTGCATGCACTTCACACCCACTGTTTGTTGCATGACATCTTCAAGTTGTTCTTCCATGCTTATGCTCTTCTTTTATACTTAGTAGCCTGACCTAGTTCCACTTTCTGTGTGCTTCCTCTGCACTTCTGAAACTAATGAAGAGCTCGTGATTTAGCCAGTTGATACCTTACTAGCTTCCCTTTGTACTTCCGCTATGTTGTCCCAGTACCAAGAAGCTCACAGTAGTTCCGTGCCTTTCATATAACTTCCTTAGGGCACTGCCAACTTCCAAAATGTCCTTTCTGCCTAGGATTTGTACTTCTGGGCTTGTGCGTACTAACACCGTGAGTTAGCTAAAGTCTGTCTCAAAGCCCACTGTTTTGTCTTTGTTTTTTTTTTTTTCCTTTGCCTCCTTTTCTAGAAATCATGACTTCTAATACTTCAAGATCACTCTCACATCAGTTGCTTGTCACCATCACCTGCAAAACCAGTTCCCCTGTATTAATCAGAATAAAATTTTTTAGAGTAGCTGGCCCGGAAGAAGCTAGAGAGATGGCAGCTGCTGTCAGTTCAGGGAAGGGCATAGACTGAGTACCAGAATAGAGCCAGACAGAGAAGCCCCTGCATATTTAGCACTTAATGGTGTCAGTAAAAGTTATAATTACCTACCTATGAACTTGTCATTAGTTTCCAGGAAGTGTAGCTAACAGTGGTGCAAATATTTGTATTATTTGAGTAAAACATGAACAACGAAAGCATGTTATTAAAATACTTTCTCAGTTCTGTTTGTCTGTCTTAGGACTTTTTAATAATTGTACAAATACAATAAGGGGGCTGAGGCCTTATTAACATAGAGTTAGTCTCTTTATTAAATTATTCATTGACATTAAAGTGTGTTTTCAAACACAGAGATTTGGGGCCAAGCAGAGCTGTTTTGTCTTCATTGAGCCAGACCCTCCAGCTTCTCAACGGCCAACCAACATGTATCTGGTCTTCAAGACCATATGAATCTTTTCCAGCCAGCTTTTTCCAGTGCACAGTGTGCGCTGTTCCTGGTAATGTCTCACTTCAGCTACATTAGCCCTAGAAGAGTTTTCTTGTGCAAAGCAGCTGGGAGCTGCTCTCTTCTTTGCAGCCATCCCACACAAGCTGACCCTCTTCCTCCTGTGGCTGTTCCTAGGTGACTGTCCCTGTGCTGTTCTGGAAAAGCTCCCCTGAGTGGAGTGAAGGCAAGTTGGCTTTTAGCTGCTATCTGTGGCTCTGGCATGTGCCTGCCGGTATCCCTTTAGGTACTGAGAGATTCACCAGCAGGGTGTCTGGTAACTCTGCTGCAAGTTATTTTAATAACATTATTGATTTCATTACGTCACCGTAGTTTTGCTTCACTACATCAAGTCTTGGCACTAAGGTAAAGCAGCAGCTAGTTAATTCAGTATAAATTATGTTTCTTTATGGGGCATCCAGAAGTAAAGAGAGCTCCCAAAGCTCCAATGGATATCTGCCCAGAGACTGGGATGGTTGCTAAAGAAGCTGTTGACTTTACCTTTCCAAACAACCACATGAGCACAGCTTTATAACTGATTCCTCTTTATATAATTGTATAAAAAGAAAACACTCTTCCACTGTTGTAGAAGAGCTATGATGATACATCAATAGCTGGTATCCTTGCAGGCAATCTGATTTCTGTTCTCTATCTTGCAATTGTTGATCTGATGTGTCCTCCAATGGTTGCTCTTTGAATCATAGGAAGCTCCTCAGGTAAGTGTAGAGACCTTCAGACCTCAAGGAGAATAAACTGGTCACAGGTGGTTGACTGGGTGAGCCATGGCAGTAATGCTGCATAGTCTCCTACTCATATGGGTCTCAGAAAACCAATTTCTCTTTAAAAAGAAAAAACCAAATCTACAAAATGCTGTCACAGTACATTCTTCTTTTATGGTCTAATTCAGAATCAATTGTCGTGAGTTGGATAACGCTCCTGCTCATACTCTTGGACTTTGGATCAAACCTTAAAATGCTTTAAAAAAGCTGTGAAAAAAAGATGGGAAGATTTGAAAGGCTTCCCCACATATACATAGATGGGTAATGTATTTTTTTTCCTAAATACATACCTAGAGGCTTAGACAACTGGCATATTTACATCAACATATTCTGGTTAAAAGAAATCACATTACTGGCAAGCAGAGGATCCCCTAAACCTATAGCTCATTTTCCCTGAAGTAAAATCAAAAGTAGCAGTGCCAGCTCATCATTTCTTAAAACAAAACATCTATTAAAAGTAACTCACCTGAGGGAAAAGCATGTTGTAACGGATGGGCTTTCCACTGCTCCTCTGAGAACACCCAGTGGCCAAAACCCCTGCACCTAGACCCCACTGCTCAGATCTGCTGATTTTGCTGGGAGAGGACTGAAAGACACATGACAATCCCAGGACTCATCCTCCTATTAACACATTTGCAGAAGTAGCTGGAAGTACAATTTACCCTACCTCTTCCCTACTGCTTTTTTATTCCAATAATTCAGTTCATGTCTATCCTGAAGAATTAGTTCACCAAAGAGCTGACCTTGTAGGAAACTGAAGCATGCTGGAGAGAAAATAAGTCCTAGTTATTAATATAAAAACAAACAGCTCAGTGATGTGTGATACGAGTCCTAAAATTACATTTAAAACCTTTCAAAACTAAACCATGAAGAGAAGGCCTGACACTTTCGCTAACACTGTTTTGAGTGAAAAACCAGAATGGAAAAACCTAGCTGAAAATGTATTTGAAATGGTTTCATAAAAATAAGGATCACAAGAAACAAACTGAAATGAATATAAACCATAGTACTTCACAAATTGCCTTGATTTTAGAAGGATTCAGAGTGCATGATAAGATCAGCTGCCTGCACAGGCTATTTTATAATAAATGGCATTGCATTTTTCATCCCCAGCACAATCTCCAGTCATACAGTACTTTTATTTATTATGAGAGTGTTCAGCTGCAATGACAGCTGAAGTGAGGAAGGAAATGGCTTCAAGAACATGGGAAGAATCCCATAAAGTTAAAGGAGTGGAATGGGGGAAAAGTACTTTAAAGTACAGGTGGTAGTGTAAATTGTTGAACATCTGAAATGTTTTCCCTTGGTAATTTTAATCACATTGTGAACTCAGTCACTCAGGCTTTTGTGAGACACTTGGTTTATTGTGGAAGCTTTATGCCATTAGTTGCAGCTCAGGAGTCAGCCCTGCACTCAGGGCTGTGGGCAGGGCATGCCATGTGCAGCAGCACGCTGAGGCTGGCTCAGAGCCACTGCCTCCAAACACCCACCACCATAAAATTAGCAGTGATCATCCCAAATGGGGCACTGATGCCCAGAAGCATTGAAGTTGACCTATGGACACCAGAGACCATCCTCAAAACCACCACCTCCAAGAGGGATGTGCTCACCCACAGAGTCATACTGGGCTGAAGGCTGTGGGTTGGTGATTGTGTCTTCTTTGCTTTGTGCAAGGAATGAGCTGAGCATGTGTCAGTGTGAAGCATCTCTGACTCTTTCCAGAGATGCCTGCTGGGAGCTAGCCACCTCCTGGGTGTGTTGCTCCAGGGCCAGGGCCATGGAGGTACTCCCTCAACCTCCAAGAACACGTGGACCATGGGAAGCTGGCCCAGGAATGAAGCTGGTTTTGAAGTATCCCATGGAAATTGTGCATACAGAAAGATGGAAGGGCATCTCAGGGTGGTTTATGCAAAATGAGTATTGTCAGACACATAGCAATGCTTCACAAATTTCATCACATTTCCCTCTACACTGATTCCCCCCTTGCTGTTCTTCAAGCACTGACATATTTTGCCACCGTATTTGGAGATTTCTCCTGCCTTTGTTATCTAAGAATAACTAAATTATTTTGCTTGATGCCTTTTCTTACCAAAAGAAGAGTTGGCTCAACTCTTATATTTTTAGCATGCTATCAGATCTCACCCGTAGTCTATCACAATGAATGTAAAGGTGATTTAGACAAAAAAGGGTTAGGATAAGCAGGTGGTATTTCAGTGTGATTAATGAATGAATATATCTAATGCTGATCAAATGACTGGACTTCATTTATGATAGGCAAGATTTGGGCAACCTCCTTGCTGGCAGCTGCCAGAGCCAATGACAAGTTTTCCTCACTCATTTATTTTTTTTTCTTTCTCCTCTTAATTGACTTAGTTGGACTTCCAGAAACTAAGGGTCAGATCTTTTGCTGGGACTTTTGTTTTCATCATTAATGAGGTAGGTTCTGATCTTTAATGTTCAGTATTTGAACGACTCAGGCTGCCTGAGTCCTATTTCAGCTATTAACACAGGTATGTAGCAGGCATAAGTGCAGTGGGCTTGTTGGGGCAGCTTTTTGCCTTTTTCCTGAAATAGATTTAGCAGATCCATAGACTGAAGGATTTCCCCTTTACCCTGTCATCATCCTCTGTAGAGGGAAATCCTTCCCTTCCATTGGACTTCCCAGTGAGGTCCATGTTCTTATTTCAGTTCCCTGAGGGATGAGAGTAAGGTGATGAAAAAGGCAGCATGACTGGGCATCGCTCTCTCCCAAACTACCTCCTGCCCACACACCAAATTCCCCTTGTTGTCAGTTAGTGTAATTTACCATAACATAAACCTTGTCCCGAATGCTTTTAAAAATGCAAATTATGTCCATCGAGCCCAAGGACTGGCAAATAAGCAGTTCCTTTGCCCACTTCCTCCTGGCCTCAGCACACGTTGCGCAGGCAATGCTCTGCTGTGACATGTTTGTTAGATCTCAAAGTTGCATTTATTTTTTTCTTAATTTAAGCAATGTAGCTGCAGACTTGAAACACAGCAGACATTTAGAAACTGTATGACTTTCCCTAACTGTCTGTAACAGTTTCAAGATAAGTAATTTTAAAAAGAATTAATTTAAACGGAGACTGCTTTAAACCACACCTCTGTACTTCTTGGTTTTGCTTTTATCTTGGCACAGATACCTACCCTCTCTCTAGCTCCTTTGTAGAGTTCATTATGCAAAGGCAAAGAAGCTACACTAACATTGTAATTTTGTTTGGCAAGGTGAGCCACAAAGCATATGCTGTGTCATGCCTTTTTATTACTGTGCAAAAATTGCCAAAGCAGCCTAAAGGAGGAATCAAGGACATGATCGTTGAGAGGAAAAGAGGAAACAGTCCAGTTTTACTACACTCAGGCTTGTAACCACTTGCGGTAGGTAGTTTCAGAACTGGTTTAATTTTAAATTATTTTCTTACCAACCGACAACAGCTTTGAAGTGACTGGTGTTTAACACCACCACTTTCTGATCCACATTGAGTCATTTTTCAGTGCCCTGGAGATCCAAGCTCTACCTGTGCAGTGGGCACTGTGCGGGTAGGGACTGTCCCATCCTCTCCCTGCATAGGGAGATGTCAGAAGTAAAGCCAGCCCAAGCCAAAAGAGAAAGAAAACCTCCTTGAGCAGGCACTGACATCCGTTTTCCATTAAGGGGAGAGTGGTGTGTCACACCTTATTCTGATCATGTTCCAAGAGCAAAACCTGCACTTCTCAGTCTAGACAACCTGTAATCAGGCAAGGGAAGAGCTGGCAAAGGGAACAATTAATGGGTGTGATCTCAGCCTTCTGCAGCCTGCCCTAAAAACCTCCAAGGACTAGGTTTCTGTGTGGGCATCTGTGGGAGCATAGATGAGACCCCCATGTCCACATCTCCTCTGGGGCTGCCCATGCCATGGGTGCCCCACTCCTGCTCCCTTCATACACTGTGCTTTCATTTGAAGGCAATCAAGAAAATCATTTGGCTTAAAAATAACCCAAAAGGTAAGTTACTTTTAACTTGGTCTCAGATGTAAACCACCACGCAGCTCCACGGCAGGACTGGGCATGAGCAAAAGGTTTCAGAGGGGTAGAAGGAGGGCAGTTTTTATTATATAACACATTGCAACATCTCCTGAGTGCTTTGGTTGCAATGGCTACGAGCCCGTCTGAAACTTTGGAAACAGCTTTAAAGAAGTGGCTGTGTGAAAGGTAGCCCTGTGTCCCCAAGGGAACCAAACTCCAGCCTATCCACCCCATGGCTGCTGCCCATACACT